GGGGCCCGGTGTCCGCGGGACCTCGGTGGCCGTCTGGTGCCGGGCGCGGGCGGCCTCACAGCCGGTCGTCGGTCATCTCCAGGAACTGGGCATAGACGTCGCGGAGGCACTCGCCCTTGGGGCCGAACAGGAACTTGGAGTAGCTGCCGTCGGCACAGATGGCTGGGCACAAGGAAGCCGGCTGACGCGGGGCCCCGGCGGGGGCAGGGCCCGGCCCCGAGGAGCGTGCGGCCGCCGCGGCTCACCTATGACGGCGTTGGGCTCCGTCCCAAAGGCACAGACGCACGGGGAGCCCGAGGGGACCTGGAACTTGGAGAAGCTCCACTTGGAACTGAAGTACTTGGGCAGGAAGCTGGCCGACGCCAGGCTGGGACGAGAGAGGGGCCGGTCACGCAGGCCGCTGGGCGCTCGGCGGCCAGGTCCGGCTCGCGAGTGGCCTCTTTACAGAGCCAGAACCCCCGGCAGCAGCCACGGCCTCCTCGGCTGGGCGCGCAGCACGGGCCAGAGCCGAGCTGGACAGGACTCCCCGCTGGGCCCTACCTGGACTGCTTGTTCCTCTTGGGGTCCTCGGCGGCGAAGACGTGCACGGTGCCGTGGTCACTGGACACGCAGATGAGGGACGCGTCCTGGTTGAAGTTGATGCTGCGGGAGACACGGCTGTGCTCGGCCTGCAGACCCCAAGCCCCGGCAGGAGCCAGCCCCGCCCCAGCCCGCGCCCTCCGGCCCCCTCGACAGCGCAAAGCGGCCGGGACACGGCGACAGGGGGTCGGCGAGGCTGGTCTGGGGCCTCCACCTCGAGCCGGAGGCGGCCCAGGCCGCCGGCGCCCCCCACGGGCGCCTCTCGGGCTGAAGCTGCCACAGACAAACCCTTGGGGCCCCCGAAACCCAGCGGGGTGATGGGTGTGCAGCGGGGAGGCCTGTCGCCCCCGCGGGCAAAGCTGGGAGCGGGGGTGGGCTGGCGGCGGGTCTTGCCAGTAAATGTTGGCGGCCTGAGAGCCCCTGCGCAGCTCCTGGATCAGGTGCCCCGACGCGGCATCAAACACTCGGACGAGGGTCCCCTGTGAGGGACGGCGAGGCGCGTCACTCCCGGAGACCCGCAGCGGGGCGCTCATAAAGCGCCCCCCTCCCCGCCTGGCCGCGCGGCGGCCACAGCCCTCCCACCCCCAGGCCAGGCGGGGGGGGCCCGGGCTGTGGCGGGCAGGGCGCGGCCACCCGCAGGCTCGCCTTCTCGGACGCGGTGGCCAGCCGAGTCCCCTGCAGGCTGAGCGCAATGCAGCTCAGGACGCCTTCGTGCGCGGGGATGTCCACGGGCGGCTTCTCCGTGCTGGCCAGGTCCACCAGCTGCACGTGGCCAGTGTGCGTCCCCGGGAAGGCCAGGAGGGAGTTGTTGCTGTTCGGGCACAGGACGCAGAGGCCTGCACGGGCCCGCGACCGTCAGCCCGGCCGGCTCAGGGCCCCGCCTCCGTCCCCGCCGTGTCCCCACCTAGCCGGGGCCTCTGTGGGGGGTGAGCACGGGGCCC